CTTAGTAGATTCATTATAATTGTAAGATTGACCGTGGAACGACCCATAAAAAGTGTTTCTTGAACTAGTATAAAAAGTGGGAATTGGCTAACCTATTTTTTCAAGATCTCTGGACAATGAATATATTGTTGTTTAAGACCTTAAAAATAAAAGACACGTCATTAAATTGACGTCTGAAAGAAAGTATATGTAGATCTAATTTTAATGCAAATTCTTTCGTGGAAAAAAATCTTCGCAAACTCTTAGGAAAAATAACTTAAAATTAAGGTTGAATACTATCTATGTGGCCTAAAAATCGAGATGAATGTGTTAGTACACCAAAATTGGAATTTAAAATAGTAGTTTCATAGTTACGATTTTGCATACAACATAAAATAGCTGTAATATTTGGTTAGCTTATATAATTATTATACTCAGATAGCTTGTACAAATCATAACATTTTAATATAAAAATCTCATAATGCAAATTACTTACTATAAAATCACCAGTTTAATAAATTGGAAACTACGCTTCTTCAGATTTTTTATCGAATGGATAATAATATATAATTAAAACAGGTAGTTTACATTTGACAAAAGGAATTTTGTATTGCTTCGGAACACCCCTGAAATAGCACAAATATACGTTTTAAAAATAACAGATCAATATAATAAATTATTTCTATCTGAACTTTATTCAATACATCAAGGTCACAATTCGTAGTTTTATCGACAATAATTTAATAATTACAATATAAAGCAATCCGCAGAGTATAATTATTATTGTACAACGCAGACGAAAATTAATAATGACAAAAGTACCTGTACGGCTTACGCATATGATAAGGATGATCCTTCATAAAATTGTTCAATATGTCATAAAAACACTGAAACGCAATTAATACGAGTGATATAAATTTACATATTATAGATTTTTTATGTGAATTCAATGACGATTTAAATATTTTTATATTCACTTCACTTCTTACAATTTCATGTGGTTAACCATATGTACTATAGCCAACCACGACGAAACATCATATTATTCCATTGTTTAATTTATGATTTCAATATGTTTTAAATCATATTCTATTATTATATTGCATTATTGCAGTTATACAATTCGAGAAAACCGATATATACCAAGCAATCCAAGATTACATAAAAATATTTTTTGCAATTATTCCTATGGATTTATTGTTTTTTTTTTTTTTTTTTTATTAAAATACTTAAACCATTTCTAGTTTACGTTATATTACGATTCCTACAATACGATACAATATAATATTATTTCTTAATCTATAAAATGTTATTAATTTATTAATAATAAAATTATTACTGTTTCTAAGTACGACTGATGTTTATTTTGCAACGTTTGTTTTATAGACCGAATTGTATAATACTACTATTGATACAATAATTATTATTGTACCAGAAAGCGATTATTTTAAAACTAAACTCTTATTTTTTTTAAAAGATTAGATTTTATTTTTATTTTTTTTTAGATAATTTTAAGTCATTAAAACTAATGGTTTAAAAAAAAATCGTTATATCTAATTTTTGAATTATTTTTTAAAATCTTAAAAAATTTAAATTACATAATATATAAATTAATAATAACGCTGTTTACTGATAAAATAACTACCTTGTATACTTAGTTTATAAAAATGTCAATCAATTTATTTTGTTATGAAAAGAAATTTTTTTTAGTAGTTTGATACATTTTTATTATATTTTATATTTTAAAAGTAATACCCTAGTTATATTAATTATGTCACAGTAATTTAATTAATTAAACAATAATAAAATTTGAAAATGAATAGTTTTCAAAAGAAATAATTTTAGGGGGATTGAAATACGAATAATTATCATTTTAAATATCACAGATTTTTAATGTCAGGACTTAGGTCGCATGTGCATAATAAAATAGGTAAAATATCTTGTTAATGTGAAAATAGCATGTGTGTGTGAGTCTATGTGGGTTTATTATTGTGAAATCCTAATACTAAATTGATAAACAAAACATGGCAGCGCTTTCTGTGGTGCATAAATTATTTATAACTTAACTTTAAATGTATAGATTTAAACGAGAGATATAAATAAATAAATTAACTTTAAGTTATTTGTTTGTTTTTCCGTTTTCGTATGAATAAAGCGATTACATAATATTACGTATAATTAATAATTATAATACTAAAATAAATCATGCTTATGTACCAAAATAGAATAAAAATTGATTATCATAAAAATGTATCGATGCATAGTTTTAATTATGGGCAACACGAAAACATTTTTGATCGGATTTATGTTATAAATATAGTTATATAATGAGTTGTGACATATCTACAGTAAAACAATATTATATACTAATAATAATTATTATTAAATCATCATATTAAAATATTGCATTCCTATATTACAGTGTATACTATTCCGTCTTTATTCTAATAATTTAATATATTATATAATATTTAAATCGCATTTTCCTCGTGATGAAACCTGGTGATGTCATTGAAAATGTGAAAATTTAAAATTTATAATTAACAAAATTACATCCAATCACATTATTTTTACTCTCAAACGCAAAATTTAGCTCCAAATTATATTTTACAATACCTTACATTTCGACAAAAATTTTACCTGTGCCACATACACCATATGTCCATATCTATATAATACCAAACTCAAACTAAATTCACGTTTACCTATCCTGGTACGCTTAAAGTAAAATCAAAACTAAATTTTTACGGAATTTTTTTAAAATAAATTAGGGTGTATAGCGTCTAAATTTAGGGTTCGGCATAAAAAGATTAAATTTAATAAAATCTAAATAACCTAAAATAAAATTATTGATTTAATAACAAAATCATATTTCTATATATCTAATCAAACACTACACTAAGGCTTTAAAATGAACACAGTGCTAGAAACTCGATTATTCAAACATTCTAGCATAAAATCTAATTAGCGAATGGTCAGTAACTCATCCTAAATTCTAAAAAAAAAAAAAAAAATGGTACTTTCTTAATCAGTATTTAAGTATTTGATGCAGCTCATTCCATCATGGCTTCATGTTAAACCTTATTAAATTACCATTTAAGCTTAATATACAATAATTGTATACATCGTTTATTCGTTTAATCCAACTAAAAATATATATTATGTATACGACAATATGTGATTTTTCATACTTTGAACTCTCTTTACGGTAGATATTTTTGTAAAAAGGAGTTACTTATGTAGTTATGTATAACTTTCGTCTTTGACGTATTATTATACATTTTTATGCAATACCTTTCTAGAAACAAGTAAGAACGAGTATTGCAAATATCGATTTCTAATTTTAATTCATTTTTCTTTTCTTTTCATTAAATATTTTCGCATTATGATTTTGTACTACAAAACAATATATTTTAAATGCCAATATGAGTAATATGAGCTTAATTGTATCCATCAAACCCGTTGACGACACCGATGGAATTTTGTGAGAAAGATTTTTACTAAAAAGAATATCAGATGACCTTTGCGTTTCTTTCAATATAATACGAAAGAAGAAACGTTCTGAAACCTTACGTACGTACATATTACACAGTTGTCCGGTTTCATAAATAATTCCGGATTTACAGTAATATCTATTGAAAAAAAAACTGCTTATTATTGATGTATAGCCATTAGGCATGCAAATTATAATTTATAAGTACCTTTGGACATATGCCCCAGCTGTGGCGCTGTGCATTTTCTTCTCCGAAAGTATGGTAATGCATGTATATTATTTAAAAAAAAAAAAAAGTAATGCGCTATTTCTACATGTTATTATGTATATATAGCGAGTGACTAAGAAGAAAATAACAATAATAAGAATCGTGTTTTCCGGAATACCGGTTTACAGTGGTTGTAGTCGAGTGGTTCACACAACTTCCGTTAGAAAACGGAAAAACCCAGACACTCCTGGATTCTCGAGTCACCAGGAATAGCGCGAGAAAACGTTACTTTCGCATTCGCATATTTTCGAATTGAACTGATTAATCATTAGTGTCTGATAAAACAACAACCATGTTTACAGAGGGGATTATAATAATAAACTAAGGAATATTGTGAGAAAAATTAATATCTTATAAATTTTAATGCACTTTTTTTCTGACATGGATACACCACGGAATAATACCGAATAATAGTACCATTTCTTTCACTAAATTCACATATTTTACTTGATGAGGTTTCTAATGATTTGATTGAGTTTTACCTAATATGTTAATAAGTTAAATTACCCACAATAACTTTTACGAGCGAAACTAAATTAATATTTTTATCATAATAATTTTGTGATTCTCGATTTGTCAAGTCTTAAAAATACTAATTATGCTCCAAAAAATATACAAATTAAATTTAAAACTTTCATACTATGCAAAAATATGTAAAATTAAATTTCGTATACTGCTTCGTTAGAGTATGAAACGAATTTTGGTGTAAACTATTTTTTGACCAATCAATAATAATGCACAAATGCATACAAGTGTGGGCTTAAGCTATAATATAATATCAGTGTACACTAATTTTACAGTTCACTTTAATAAAATTATAATAATTATCAAGATATCGTTACACGATATTATATTTTCATTAAGTAGTTAAATATGCGAACAGGTTATATCTATTTATTATTTAACAAGCAAATACGTAGACTCAATTAATTGTAATATTTTTGTGGAACTCGATACTTATTAATTGTACAGTTTTTACTAGTAATATCATCAAACCAACGGGAATTGGGATGATAAAAATCTTTTTTTTTTAACATTTTCATGTAGCTTGTAGGTAATAATAAATAATAATAATAATAATAATAATATTGATACATGCGTACAACTAACGATTAACGAGTCTCACCACCCAGCCACCGCCGCCGTTGCCGCCATCAACCACCTCCACGACCGCCGACGTCGGCGAGTGATTGGCGCACGCGCGGGCACACGGTCAATGCGATATTTCTTTTTATAAAACGGTTAGCGCGATCGCTCGTGGTCAGTACGGAGTTCAATGTCAATATCAGAGGAACTGCAATTGCCATCGCACTACCGGGTTTCGCAATCACAGTTTTTGGATATTCGGCTAACGCGCTAACGTAACATAATTTCCGTACGCGATATTTATTATTTCTATTCCCGTTACTACCGTTTTCCGTCGCGTGTATATTATTATACATTCACGGCAGTCGTTGTATCTTGAATAAAAATAAATTACGCGACAGTTTGTTTCGGCATTTGTCGTCGGTTTATAACAGTACACGTTATACATTAAAATAATATCAAGGCGTCTTCGTATCGTCCGTCCGACATGTACCCGAACCCATGGATCAGAAAACACTCGACCATCAGACAGGTGATAGACAAGCTGTTGTCGATCAACACGAACAAGACGAAGAAGTTTGACGCGATGTTGAACAAGAAAAAGCACACCGGAAGTAACAGGACGACGACGACGGCGGCGGCGGCGGCGACGGCGGACAAGCGACGCAAACATTAGCCTCGGCCGGGCGTAAAACGAAATTCGATCAGCGGTATTTTTTTTCGCGCACGGCCGTGTAGAGTAACGCTACACTCGCTATAAAAAATGTGTCCGTCCGAAAATGTTCCTACTTATTTATAATGTATTATTGTATTATTGTATCATACCATTTGTGACGCCAGAGAGACGCGCTGCGGCTCTTTCCACCGCCGAAAAATCCGAAGAATATAATTTAATATATACCTATAGCGTACATAATATACGTTTACTTACGTTACGTACCCTCGTATCGTGTTAAAACTATAGTATAGTATTATATAGCTATATAGTATAAAATAATCGTGGCTACAAACGAAGACACCGTGTTCAATATCAATGATAAATAATAGCTATTATATATATGCCGATTGTAAATATATTTATATAATATGCCGTACAAGTATACCACTACGTCTCACACGAGTTCACGAGGTAAGTCATGGACATTTTTCTCTTATTTTTAAAACACTCGTTTAACGGTTTTTACCCAAAATTAAGTACAATAAAAGAGTGTTGTATGTAGTATGTACACTGCAGCTACTACTTCAACTGCATTATTTTTTTTTTTTTTTAATAAATTGCACTAAATATATATACGTATATCATGTTGTGTTATGTCAAAATACAAAATAAATTAAAATTAAAAGGTGTTTAGTGTGTCTGATATTGGTCTGCTCGGTTTTCCGTGTAAACACATTATTAGACCTTTTCAATCACGTCCGTATGCTTGTGATAGCAGGGCGTCGGCCCAATAGCTACATCCGTAGAAGGTAGTGATCGTGATAATAAAACGTTATTTACAATAAATATTGATATTAAATTACATAGTTTTGTATAAGTATTATGTACACGTCGCAATCAAACCGAAACGAAAAGGTCGTCACATACGTGTGAGCAGTCGAGACACGTTGGACGTACGGATCTATCCATAACAACTGATCAAAATCGGTCATTTTTTTTAGTTAATAACTTATTATTATTGTGTAAACTCGCGAATATCCTGTAGATCCGTGCACATCATACAATGTTAAAAACGTCACGCTTGTTAAACTCCCGACTCGTGCATTCGTCCGTTTATTTAAAGCCCATTTCTACATTTCTATTCTTCCAATTGGTCTCGTTTTGACGATGCTTTAGAAAAAAAAAAATCCTGAGACCTTAAAACCTCGACGGAAATTTATTTATTGTAATACCTATACGACAATCCGTCACATTTTAAAATCAATTTACACCTGAATAATATTAGTAAATTTATATTATAGTTTTATCTATATAGTTTTACCATAGAATTTTTATCGTCGATTACGAAAATCAACGCTGATTTAAAAAACGTTTACATATAATATAATTATTATGCTATCTCGCACATGTATGATATAAATGCAAACGATGTTTTTCCCGTTCTCGCACGTTCGTTTTGTTTGTTAAAGCAAAATATTATTACAATTTTAATTAGGTGCGTGTAATCGAAAATCAATTAGTCCTGTACGTGGGTTCGGCGCGCGTTAAGTGAGGAAATGGATCTTCGCGAAAAATACGCGCCGGACCCGCGCCGATGATAACTTTTAATAATTATTATGTTAATAATAATATGATAACCATATTGCGATATGTATAATAAACGAACCGCGTTGGTATGCGCGCATTGCATATTTGACATTTTATCACGAAACCAATTTATGCGGTTGATAAGGACGGGTTCATATGGGATATTTTTAGTAATACACATACTTCTATAGCCCATTTACCTATATTATTTACAAGGGTTTCTATAATAAAGAATACAGTCCCGTCTCCGTGGAGGATCCCCGATGAAGACGACATCGCGGTCGTGATGGTCAAGGATTCTGTGACGAAAACCGCTAAAAATGCAATCGCGTAGATTGCAGGTCGCATTTCTCGGAGACCGTAGCCGGTTTTTTTTTTCTGTGCGGTTTCGATGTTTTTATTGTTTGAAAATTATCATGTAATTCTCTAAAAATGCGTCTTCCGTTGCGTTGACCTCTAGCGGAGAATGCCGCCGCCGCCGCCGCCTAGAAAAATCCAAATATTATACTCCACGTGTATCCATGTAATATGTATATGTGCGGCGTGTGTGTGTAAAAATGTTAAACTTCATAGAGGTAACATAGTTACGATTTCAAGTAAAAAAACTCGCGATTATCGGTGGTATATGAATCTTCGAGGTTCTAAATCATATAGCATAATATAACCACAGATACCTATCAAAAATATAATAGTTTTTAAATACCCACAAAAATATTCAAATTTTCTTCCATACGTGTTATATATAATATGTTATAACTTATAATACAATTATGTGTTCAACCGACAGATATTATATACAAACATACAATACATTTTTCTAATATTGATATTATATTATGTAGAATCGAGTATAAAAAAAATGCATTCCAGCAGACATATTAAATACAACGATTTCCGTTTAAATTCTTTTACTTTTACTTATGTAATATGTATTAGATTTATGTTGTGCGTGTTTTTTCTCTATAGTTTATCTATTTTGTGTTCCCTGATATATCAAATTAATATCTGTATCACTTTGCATGTTTTTTTTTTAAATGTCTCGGGTCACAATTCACGTATAGTAATATTATGACTGTGACCTTTTTTGTGGAAACTATTTACCTACTCCGATAACATCCATCACGATTGTTTTGATTGTGTTACTGATGTATTTTTTTGTTTTTTTTTTTTTGCAGCTATTTGTTGGTCGTTCAGATATTTAAACAGTACAACGTCTGGATTGAGATATAACCACATCGTTATATTATGTACTCACACGTTTTCTGTTGGTCCGCATTACCGTAAATTTAGTCAAAACGGATTTGGACTACATGTATAATATCATAATCACCATCATTGTCATCATCATCATCATCATCATCATATTAAACTGACGATCGTGCAGGTTGATTCGCGTTCCGTGGAAAAATGAACGACACATCATCTACAGCTATACGATTTACGTCAAAACAGGTGAGGATTGTTTAAGGCTATATTTATATATTCAATATTACTATATAATTATCAAACATCATTAATCGTACGGAAAAATATAATGTATGTTTACATCGATCGATACGATTTCGCTGCATTCCTATACGTTTTCCTTGTCATAATTATGTCTCATATAAATGTGACGCGTTATTGTTTTTAAGCTATATCTTTACTGAAATTTTGGTCAATGACAAACGGGACTGTCGTTGATTGTATAATTGTATAAAAAATTTTAAAAATAAAATAGTTTTGTTACAAATCACGTATTATAAAGTAAAATTCATGTTAACGAATATTTAAATAATTTCACAAATTGCAGCAATTTCTATATTCTTTCAATATCTTATATTGTCGACTATCACTGTGAAATTGTTTTATGGGTACATTGCTTTTCGGAGATTTCGTACGATGTTAAGTTATTAAATATGATTAAATTCCTGTACAAACATTTCGTATACGAAAGTCTGGTTTGAATCTAAAATTCGGAGGGGGAGAGTGCCAAGAAAATTCCCCAGTTATCCTTAGACTAAACTTGATACATGTATAATTGTGTATATAAATTATGAAATACATATAATATACGGCGTGGTGACTTTTCGGACGAATAGACGACGCACGCACGTGGACTAACCGAAAACAATGAGTCAATGAACGGGCAGACCTGTGTCTTTATAACAATATTATATCACCTTAGCGTATTTGGAGTTTAGATATCGATTATATGAAATTCTATTTAACCACAGTAATTTCAATAATATTATAAAACTATATAAGTATATAATTAATAATTCGTGGATCGTTCTCACGGTGTAAAGATCGTTTGGCGTGTAATAATTCACTAATTCGTATATAATCTAAATATTATTGTTTAACTTATATTTTTTATTGATTTTATATTTTATATGTTTATTTTCAGATTAAAATTGTATTTATTTATACCGTTTGATCAGAAAACCCATTGGAATTGCGAATACTACTTGAAGATGTAAACAACGACTTTTAATTTATACTGTTTTCGACGTACGTCCTTATGGCATTGTTTTATTTTTATTTTTACGTGTAATATTTGTATTATTTAATTAGTTTTATTGTATTTGTATAAAGTTACAATTTTTGATATTTTTATATAAAATATACATATAATATTTTTTTAGAAAACATCAATTTGTATTATGTTTATAAACAATTTAACGTGAACACGTATTACTTTATATCATTATTATTTAATATTGTTTCATAGTCGGTAGCGTTTTCCCAGTCAATCTTTGTCATTAAGTCGAAAACCAATACCTTTTGTGAAATTATTTATTTTATTTATCTTTGTGGACTTTAATAATAATTGTATAATTACATACAGAGAGTATCGAAAAGGTTTTACATTTTTCGATTAATATATACGCTACCTAACTTGTGTACAAAACTATAAAACAATACTTGTGGTACACTTACGGTGTAGTATTTTATTTTTGGCAGATGCCCGTTACACACGGTGTCTAGGTGTCTAACACACCCCTTCTTGTAAAAAAAAAAAAAAAAATTAAAAAACGTCTTTATAATAAATAATAATATTTAAAATGATTTACATTCATTGATCTAACATCCATTAGTATTCAACAATAAGTGACTTGATCTATATATAATGCAACGCGCAGTGTGCCCACTATTAATCGTAGTTTGTTGATAAACGATAATCAATATCTTTACGTCATTAATTTATACATTAGAATTTAGACTCTTAAATTGCTTTTCTATTCATCGATATCGAAGATGCAATCAAATGATGCATACACATCACTTATGTATAATATTTAGATAGCAAATATAATATTAATTGTGATTAACTTTCAGCATGAATATAGATAAATACTTGCTCGTATTGATTTAGAATAACAGTTTTAAAATTTTAACATCGTCTTGATAACCTAAATAGGTACTAGCTATAATAAGATTTTCCGATACAAATCATTAATATTACATATACTACGGGTATTATGTTAAGTTGCAAGAAATAAAAATATTCCATGTTAATTTTAACCAAGTTTTGAATTTATGATTTTCTACATTCAGATAAATAATTAACTGATTATTACCAAAGCATTATGATATATATATATATACATATTTAAAAATTACGTTGAATTTATATAACAATGGTAAGTACCTAAAATTGTTTTATATACATTCGAAACCCATGAAAGTATCATCGATCTACGCCAAAGCACTTACGTTCTATATATTATTATAATATTATAATTATTACACATTCCTTAAACAATCTATACGATAAAAACAAAACAAGAGAAATAATTACCAAAACAATAACGATTTGGATATCGACCGAAAACCAATATGTGTATCTGCATTTTGTGATTTTTTTTTTTTTGTCCGAGTATAGCATGATCGTAAAATTTTAAAACATCTTAATGGTAAATAGATATAGAATATAGATAATGTATAAAACCCACGCGTGTAATATTTTGAGTTATAGACTATTTAACATATTATTATATACATGTAGGACCGAAAACGTCAATGCCGTTCGTCTGAAAATTTTTAGACCTAACGAAAAAATTTCGAGGTTATTTCTTGCTAATACTTTGGACACCTGATAGCTGTCATATACTGCAATGATTTGTTAACGTTGTCTTCTCGATGGTAAGTGGAGTTCAACAGACATTATAATATAATATAGGCGTATATAAGCAAAGTTTCTATTTTTTTTTTTACCACACAGACTTACTGTAAGAATATAGTACACACATGTTTTTGTTTTCTAACAGTTAAAAATGTATAATATAATATTATAAATGTTGGTAGATTGACGATTACAGCAAGAAAAATTGCGATTGAATCTCCGTTATTCATATACATCATAGTAATAAAATATTAATAAATAACATGTTAAATTATTTCAATCTACGCTTTTTGTTTATTATATACTAATATAGTGATAGTTAACTGATATGCTCATACACACAAACGCCAGCGAGTGAGATTATACGTCGTCTGATCATTTACAAGATAAATGTATCATTTCGGAGTAAAGTCCTAAGGTTATCCGAGTCTGAGACGTAATGATAAAAATAATGATAATAATAATGATATTAATAATAATAATAATAATAATAATAAAAGTTCGAATTCGAACAAACTCGAGTATGAGAAGACTCAACAAATAAAAAAATATATCTATGTCCGGGAATTAGAAACAGTTCCGTTCAAACATAAGGAAACGCTTTATAGTATTGTAACAGTATCATATGATTTTAACAATATCATGATAAGATAGCTGTTTTTTAATAACGGATGGAACTGAACGTGTAGAGTTAGGTACTTTATTTTGAATTATATATACGCCTCAGTCGTGAGATTTTCTTTAAAAATGTAAAAAGTCAGTATAAACCGTCAAGGCTCGTGATTTCATGATGCTTATACTTTTTGAAAATAACATTCATTTTAATTTCATACTTCAACATGCAGAATACTTTCCTAATAATTTAAATACATAAAAATATATTTTCTAATTAGTATTAAATGAATTAAAGGCATTTTAATATTGTAAATGAGAAGAATGTCATATCATCTAAAAAAAAGAAAAAAAGATGTTCTACTACTCAGCCTCTCAAAACTTAAAATATTAATAAGTTATAAGTTATAACTAATTTACTACGTATCCGAAATGTTTGTTAGGTATATATATATATAATACATACGATTCTGATAAGAAACATTTTCTTAAGAAATAGAACTCAAAATGTATTTTTTCGTAAAATGAAATGTTATTTTATAATTTTTCAAAATATATTAAAAAAAATTTCCTACAACGAAAGTACAAGATAATATTTTTTCCAATGAATGAATCACACAGTAAAAAATATTTATAAATACATTCAGATCTAATAAATTATGTTGTTATGATATTTTTCAGTATATGAAAGCTAAATCATAAATATATAACGTTTTAATAAAAATAAAATTTTTGAAAAAACAGTCATACTTCATTGTTAACCATATGATCTGAATTATACCTACACAATGAATACCTATCTGTCCAGCACACACTATTATTTATTTATTTATTTATTTATTCCTATTATTTGCGTAGGTATTTTATATTAAAAACGAATTAAAAAAATATAACTTTATGTTTATATTTAATATAATATATTGTTAAATAAAAATAAATTTGAAAGAATTGCTTGCAAAATAATGTGATATTACGTAGAAGCACGTACATTCTTACTGCGCAAATTACTTAAAAGAATGTCAGTGCGCAATTTGTTTTCTCTCTTTAGCCCACGCGCAAAACATAGACATAGCGCATTACGCAGAATCATTTTTTTATGTTTTTGAGTAATTTTAGAGTAAAATCATCCATAACAAAAATTATAGAGAATAATATTTTTGAGGGAATGACATATCGATTTGTTTAAATATTGTGTCAAAACAGTTTTAAACATTATTTTAATTTATAATTTTATTTTTTTATTTTAAAAATTGAATACTCGGTCAAATAATAATAAAATATAAAACATATGTGTTAAACTCTCAAAATTATTATCCTCTATAATTTTTATAGTATGTGTTTTTACTGTATGATAAAAAAAAATAAAAAAAACATTAATAAAAAATTATAAATATATAATTATAAAAATATCAAAAAAAAATGATTCTGCGTAAATGAATTTTGTTTATGTTAGGCGTGGGCCAGAGAGAAAACAAACAGTGCGCTAAAATCCTCTAAAGTAAGTTAGTTATTGTAACTACGTAACATCACATTTTTTTACAAACGATCCTTTCAAATTAATTTTCTATAGAAAATAAATGTCTATGAACGATCCTGGAATGGAATATATTCATTATCAGGAATACCATAAAATGACAATTTTTTTAGTTATTTATTATTATTATAGGTTTTATAAACTTAATCACATCTTTTGATTTATGAATATTTTTTTAAATACGTAAAATATTATATTATAAATTATAAATTATAAAATATTATTATTTATCATAATATATTATATTATATTATAATGTCAATAACCGTTTTATTATATATCGTGTGCGACTCTAAAATTATCAAAGTTTAATCCCGAGACAATTAACCGTCTCAAAATATTTTATCTGAACATTGGGACAATATATTCAAAATCAAAACCTATTTAGTCGCAATCAAATCAGTTAATGAGGTAATCCTAATTTAGGGTCGGTTCTCCATTAATTTTGTCTATTCGGTATATCATAGTCCATGGATTCTGACTTGTAATTATAAATTGTACCTCGGATATAATATTGTAGGTGTGATGCTATAACATAGACTAAGGTGGTTTTCAAGTATTATTGTCTTGTATTCATTAAAGTATACTTCAATGTTTAATGTGTAGAAAACGTTTATTGGGATTACGAGATGTCTCAGAAATATAATTAGTTTTTATAAATTCATATGGCATGATTTAATAGTATTTATATTACTTTTTTGTAGTATTACCAATATTAATTATAGATACCTATATTTTTAATAATGATATTTTGAGTGTTTAAAATCGTTAATAATATCAAATAAATAGAAAAAAAGTTGATTTATCAAAAAAAAGAAAAAAAAGAAAAAAGAATTATTAACAGTTATAAACAATTTGTTAATTGGCACCAAAGTTTTTATTTGATTTTTGTTGACTACTGGATGGAAGACGATAGAAAATCGACAAATACTTTTATTAAAAATGTTTTTAGTTGGAATCTCTCAAACATGATTTATAAACAAATATAAACTATTCCATACATTTATTAATTATTAAAAATTTAAAGTCCTAGTAATTAATGTATAAAATATAAATAATTAGTAATTACATTGAAATACACAAATACACAAAATTTGATGATATTGAGGTCCAACTTTAAAAACTCCCTGATTATTAATAATTAAATATAATCATTAGTTTTCTTAGTTTTGTTCGAATTATTATAATCCGAACAAAGCTTAATAATTTTAAAAATTGTTATAATATGTATTTAAAATTCTAAAAAATCATGACTGCTGTTTAAGATAAATAAAATAGTACTTATATGTAATTCGATTT